TGCAGTTAATGCTTCAAAAATAAGGTATTTCCAAGTAGCCTGTGTTGTATGATGTGAAAGTAGTTCCCCAGCTCCCATGCTTTCACATATCATTGGGAAATAAAATATTTGTCTGAAATTAAACTTAATTATTTTCTTACCTCTGCTACCCTTTTGTTTATTTTAATGTATCCTGACTACATGACCAACTTCCAACATCAGGCAGTTAATGCTTCAAAAATAAGGTATTTCCAAGTAGCCTGTGTTGTATGATGTGAAAGTAGTTCCCCAGCTCCCATGCTTTCACATATCATTGGGAAATAAAATATTTGTCTGAAATTAAACTTAATTATTTTCTTACCTCTGCTACCCTTTTGTTTATTTTAATGTATCCTGACTACATGACCAACTTCCAACATCAGTTCATTACTCCCATCTATTTTCATGTGGAAATCCATTCTTGATCCTACCTCCTAATCCTCTTTCAGACCTGCTTCTTCCAAACACCCTATAACTCTTAGTTCTCTTCACAGAAGATATGTTAGCCTAGGGCTACATCTTCACTGCGAGTTTTTCTGGCAGAAAATATGAAATATGCTAATGAGGGACTCATTAGCATAAGTTGTGACATCATTACCATATTTTCTGCCAGAAAAACTCACAGTGAAGACAAAGCCTGTGCGTTTAGGCTTGGACTAGGAAAAAAGGATCTCAACTTGTTTAACATCAACGTAGATACAATTGAACATCTTTATTAGGTCAAGTTATACCACAGGCTGCACAAAGTGCCAGACATTCAAAGTTAAATGAATAGAATTGCACATATACACTTACACGTCTCTGTATCTTCAGGGAATAGCTGAGTTAGTCTGTACGGGTATGTCTACACTACCCCGCTAGTTCGAACTAGAGGGGTAATGTAGGCATACCTCACTTGCTAATGAAGCCCGGGATTTGAATTTCCCGGGCTTCATTAGCATAAGCGGGGAGCCGCCATTTTTAAATCCCTGCTGCTTCGAACCCCGTGTAGCGCGGCTACACGGGGCTCGAACTAGGTAGTTCGGACTAGGGTCCAATTCCGAACTACCATTACTCCTCGTGAAACGAGGTGTACCGGTAGTTCGGAATAGGCACCCTAGTCCGAACTACCTAGTTCGAGCCCCGTGTAGCCGCGCTACACGGGGTTCGAAGCAGCGGGGATTTAAAAATGGCGGCTCCCCGCTTATGCTAATGAAGCCCGGGAAATTCAAATCCCGGGCTTCATTAGCAAGTGCGGTATGCCTATATTACCCTCCTATTTCGAACTAGGAGGGTAGTGTAGACATACCCTACAGGATAAACTTAAAAACAACAGATGGTCTGGTAGCACTTTATAGACTAACAAAACATATAGGTGGTATAATGAGAATTCATGGGCACAGCCCACTTCTTGAGATGTGCCATAGGCATGCAGAATTAACAGCAGTGCATACAAAAAGCTTCCTGTTCATGTTTCCATCAGATATAGCTTTATATGTGTTAGACACCAATAAATGAATGCATACAGTTTCATGTGCCTACCTTTGAAAATGTGGCCATAGTTATTCATCATTTGAAGCCAATAACCTGACAGGTATCACTATTTATTTACTATGAAGAAAAATATCTTAATCTTTTTACATTTAATATCTGAACTTTAATATGTTTTGCAAAATGATTTTTCAAAAAATGTGAAATATAGTCTGACAATACAATTAATTCAGCATCCTTGTTTATATATATTGTAGAACTGACTTGTGATATATGGCATATTGTACTATGTACATGCTGTTAAATATATGTTCAAAATGTATGCTTCAATATATTCAGTGTAGGTAAACTAATTTTCCTGTGGGAACTTTAACATTATTAATTTCTTGGCTTCTGGGTGTTTAAATTGATGTTGCATTAACATAGGCTTTTATTCTGAATAACCCATCTCATTGGATTAGTGTTGATTTAATGGGGCATTACTTTGGTGTCTCTGACACACTTCCCATTTTCATTACTGCTTCAAAGTGATGCTGATTTGTGAGTCATAAATATGCCAAATGTTAATTTGCCATTTCCCTTCTATGCCTATTAACTTCCTGTTTTTATGTTTACTGTCAAGGGTTTGGTTAGTTGGTTGGTTGGTTGGTTGGTATATGGCTTCTTTGTGAGGATACACGTTAAAATATCAGTTCCTAATCCGAACTAGCTGCCTCGTGCCGCGTGTAGCCGCGCGGCACGGGGTTCGAACTAGCCGGGATTTAAAAATGGCGGCGCCCGGCTTATGCAAATGAAGCCCGGGAAATTCAAATCCCGGGCTTCATTTGCAAGTGCGGTATGCCTACATTACCCTCCTACTTCGAAATAGGAGGGTAGTGTAGACATACCCTTAGTCTTGTTAGCGTGATGATGTACCATTTCCAGAATACCTCTTCAGGAGTCTGTGTCCCTGATGGGTGCCCCAGAGGGTGAAGGAAGCATCCCTACCTAAATCACTCACTGGTTGGTGGGTTTGTGCAGCAAGGCCTTGACTGGGTGGGTGTTTGTAATGGGAAGGAGACTAATTGTTTATTGTTATTATATGTAATGGACAGTATATAAACTGCTTCATAATTGCTTGTATTCGAAGATCTGCCTGGGAAGGCTTCTCCCCTCCCCCCGTCCAAATCAGATCTTCCTTTGCTGCAGCTCGGAATAAAACTGCCTCTGGCAACTTGTTCCTTACAAATGCAGAGTGAGGACAATGATTTCTTCCACACTCTTCTGCACTGTGTGTGGTTGGATAGATTAACAATGTTGTTAGGTGAGTTGAAGGTAACGTATAGTACCTTGTGACATGTAGGAGTTTAGACAGCTTATTGTCCTTTTTCTTCTGTGGGTAAGAGAAGTGAGCATTGTAAGTGGCTTGTCTAATTTTTGTAAAGTCCAGCAATGTGGAATCTTGTGTGGCACCTTGGTTTCTTATGGGAGTCTCATAAATTGTAAGTTATTAAAAGTAATCCGGTTTAAAAGTTAGAATAAAATATAAAATGTATAAAACCCCTTAAAATAACAAGTTAAGTGAATTCAAAAACAAAGGTTTCTGCTTCCACGTGTTAGCAGTCTTACTGCCTAGAATGCTTTCAGCCAGTATCCCTCCCTCAGTTGAGTTTTAATTGCCTTGTCCTTCAAGTTTGGTTGACACCCTGAGTAGAACTGAAGGGGGAGATGATTTGGGGCCTCTGTTCTGCATTTTTATCCTTTTCCAACTCTTGGAGAATTATTTCCAGCTGGGTTCAGATGACAGAATGTCTGGAGAGATACGAACCTCCAGCTGCTTCTTTATCCAGAAAATTTTTCACTCACACCCATTTTTTCTGCCAAAGAACAATTTCTTAACCTGGTCCATCTGATTTTGTTTACACCTGACTGAGGTGTCAGTTTGCCTTTTGTCTCTGAGGACCTGATTTGAAGCTATTTGCCTAGATTTAGAATATGTCCTAGGGTATGTCTACACTAGCCCCCTAATTCGAACTAGGGAGGCTAATGTAGGCATTCGAAGTTGCAAATCAAGCCCGAGATTTAAATATCCCGGGCATTATTTGCATGTTCCTGTCTGGTCGCCATTTTTAAATTCCACTAGTCCAAAATTGCCCATGGCTACACGTGGCAGTGAACGGTAATTCAAACTAAATCCTTAGTTCGAATTAACTGTTACTCCCCATGGAATGGAATGAGGTGTAACAGTTAATGCGAACTAAGTACTTAGTTCAAGTTACCATTTCACTGCTGCGTGTAGCCACGGGCAGTTACTTTGGACTAGGAATTTAAACATGGCGACTGGACAGGAACATGCAAATAATCCCGGGCTTGATTTGCAACTTTGAATGCCTACATTAGCCTCCCTAGTTCGAACTAGGGGGCTAGTGTAGACATGCCCTTAGTAACATCATGAACAGGTTGAATTTCTCTAGTCAGGGAGTCTCCAGAAACATCAATGGCCCAGCATCCTCTTGGAAACATCCATGGCCCAGCTTGGAGCATTCAGGGTTAAAAACCATAGCACCAGGACCATAGATGTTGCAGACCAGAGAACTCTGACAGCAGGAAGCCCAGTGGCCATGCACAGAGCTATGTGGCAAGGGTGACAGCAGCTGGGAATGAAGTCTGGCAGAGGCCAGCAGCTGGGAGCAAGGAGGATGGCCAGGGCTGGGAACAGGGGCTGGTATCCAAGGCCAATGGCCAAAAGCATGGAGCCAGTGGCCAGGATGGGAACCCAGTGTCCAAGAT